TAGAATATAATGAGCATGTTTAACACTCATAAGCCTAACGTGCAGTAGGCTTCAAAAATTTTTGTGAAAAAAATTCATTATCTTTCTATTTCATTTTTCAACAAACTTTTTGAAGTCCCCTGTACATTGCTTAATTTATTTAGATGTTCATCCTGCTTTTACTTTAAAGGCATTGTATTATCTCTTTAATACTTAAATGTTGTTAATTACATAAATAGATCTCCTAATATTGAATCACTCTGGCATTCCTAGAATTAAGTATAATAATTAAAATAAGGACTAAAACATGCCAAGATTAAGTTTATACCATTCATTCTTGAGAATATTAGAATTAGTTACTAACTTGTTTGAACTACAAAGTCAGTGGTTCAAACTTACCATCCAGTCCTTGGAAACCTTATATAGGGTTGCTATGATTCTGACCCTACTTGATGTCATTTAACAACAATAATCTATTCTTGAAAAAGAGTCTTTTACAGATAAATGTTGTTATTAAATGCTATCTAGTCCATTCAGACTTATAAATAAGCCTGTATAAGGTTTTGAATAGCAACTGTTGGATTTGAACCCGCTGACTTTGTGGTCAGAAGTCGAGTGCTTATTCTACAACACCATGCCAAGACTAGGTTTGTACATCTCTTTTAATTGTAGCATTTTTATAATAGCAATTAGCCAGGAATAATAAAAATTTTATTTGAAGTATGCTACACATGATATGAAGTCCTGGTGTGGTACTGTGGGTTAATGTGTTGGATAGCAAAGCCAGTTAGAACCTCAAGGCCAGTGATACAAGACCGCTAGTCCCACAGCAACCACAACTCCAGGGTTGCTGTGGGACTGAATTGACTCGATGGCACTTTACAACGACAACATGTATGATGTAATACCATTAATTCACTCAAAACTCACACAAACACAAAATTTTTTTTAAAAAAATAAAGGTAATCACCTCTACCAGTATCATGTATTTTATTTTAAAATTCTGAAGTAAAAAGACAAGAACATAATTATTTGTTTATTGAAATAATAAGTATGGAAGTATTTATCTTTTGATGTTTTATGTTTTAAAAAGTTAAGTATTTTTAAAAAACACTTGTTTCTATTCCTCTCCGTTATTTAAATCTTCAGTTAAATATGAACTACTTCATCTTTTTCCATTCTTTGTTTCCAACACTCACTTAAAAAATTGCTTTCTTACATATTCTTGGATATATAGGTTATCTTCCCTGATATATTATTTCAAAAAAGTTGGTTTGCATTATTCTACCTGAATCAAGTTTATCTATTTAGAACTACATGAAAGTGTTCCAGTTAAGTCTGCCTTTGTTTACCAGAGCTCTGCATTTATAATAGCCTTATAAAGTATCTGATGTCTAAAGAGAGTTTGTTTAGCAGATCTGCTTGAACATTCAGCTACTTGAAATCAAAGGTACTTAAATTAGAAGCCATTTAACAGCAACCATCTATTGTTCATTATTCTCTCTGAATAACATATATATCGTCCAAAGATGAAGTCATACTCCATGGAGCCCACAAATATTTGAACTCTTTTTATACTTTAGGGACAATGAAGGTAGGAGGCATTCTTAATTGGCCATTTGCCTGAGACTTTCAGTAGTAGCTATGATTGACTTCCAGATTTTCGATACTCTATAATCCATCTACTCAATTTGATAATTCTGGGTAATGCTTCTCAATTAAAAAACTGCTTAGCCTCTCCATTTATATGCTACTTAGTATTATGCAGCATAGAAATGCAATTCACATTGTTATTATTAAGTGCCTCTCGAGTCTGTTCCTACCCATAATTCACATTAGGAACCTTTTATTTGTCCATAAATCTCTTCTCCAAATTGTAAAAAGTTGATCAGACCTTCCACACTTTGTGATTAATATATACTGAGATATACTTATATACCTTTCACAAGGTTAGTGTAGCTATGAGATACATATCAACAATGTCAATTTTCTTCAAACATCTTGACTTCTGGTGGAAAATATTCATAATCTCTGTTAATAAAGTATGTCTATTCATTTTTTAAAAATTTTGAATTTCATGTTGTTTAATAGTTTTATTTGCTTTACACCTTTAAGTAGATTTTAGGAAGTAGAGTTAACTATATATGTATTATTATCTCTCAACTTTATCGCACAAATTTTAATGTATTTTGACTTTATTTTAGGTAACATATGTCAACAGACAAACAAATGGAAAGACAAAACCACTCCATAGTGTCCGAGTTTATTTTGCTGGGACTCACTGATTCTCATGATTTGCAGATTTTCTTTTTCATGTTTTTTTCTATTGTCTACACAGCCATTGTGTTAGGAAACCTCACCATTATCTTTGTAGTGAAACTGGACCCTCAGTTGCACTCTCCCATGTACTTTCTACTGGCCAACCTCTCCTTTATTGATATGTCCCTGGCTTCCTTTGCTACTCCCAAGATGATTTGTGATTTACTTAGTGAATATAAAACCATCTCCTATGACGGCTGCATGACTCAGATATTTTTCCTTCATCTTTTAGGTGGAAGTGAGATGATGTTGCTTGTATCCATGGCAATTGACAGATACATTGCCATATGCAAACCCCTCCATTACAAATCGATCATGAGCCAACGTGTTTGCATTGGGCTTGCCTTTCTCTCCTGGACCACTGGTTTTGTGCACACTATGAGCCAAATAATTTTCACAGTGACTTTACCATTCTGTGGCCCTAATGTCATAGACAGTTTTTTTTGTGATCTGCCTCGGGTCATCAAACTTGCCTGCACTGACACCTACATCCTGGAGCTGCTAGTCATTGCAGAGAGTGGAGTACTCTCTGTGCTCTGTTTCTTCTTTCTGCTCATCTCCTACAGTATCATCCTGTTTAATGTCCAGAAGCGCTCATCCACTGGGTCTGCCAAGGCTTTGTCCACTCTTTCAGCCCACATCACAGTGGTGGTACTCTTCTTCGGACCTTGTATCTTTATCTATGTGTGGCCGTTCAGCAGTATTTCCGTAGACAAGGTCCTCTCTGTGTTTTATACAATTTTTACACCTCTTTTAAATCCAATAATCTACACATTCAGAAATAAAGATATGAAAAGAGCAATAAAAAAAATAATGACAAAGCATGTGAGTTCCAGATCAACTTTTTGACTGGGCTATAGTCACTAAAGATGACCTGTCTTTAGTGACCTATCATTATTATAACACAATAAACACAGCTTTTGTGCATAAATATGTCGTATCATGGTAAATAATAAGTCTTCCCTATACAGGTATATATGCAATACAACACTTTGGATTTGCACCCAAATACAAACTACTCAAATACAATATTATCTACTTATCTTGTAACTAACTACCAGTTATTAAATTCTTACCAAAAATGAGGCATTTTCCATGCATTTTCTCTTATCGCCACAATTATTGTTTACATATTATTAAAAGGAACCTGAGACTTAGAATCATTAATGAACTTACAACAAAAATTACAAGTACTTGACCCCAGAATCAGATCCTATAACTATATAATCTATGCTTTTGTAACTAAAGGTATTTTTCTGTCTTCTAAAAACATTAATAAAATATTTTATTATAATCTTCTTTAGAGGTTACAACCAAAAACCAAACCAAACTCATTGCTGCCATGTGATTCCTACTCATGGTGTTGTATTGTGTTACAGAGTGGAACTGTTCAGTATGGTTCTCTTGTCTATGATATTTTACAGTAGCAGATTCTCAGGCATTTATTCTGTGGTGCCAATGAGTCTGTTCAAACTGCCAACCTTCAATTTAGCAGTTGAGTGCAAGCTGTAATACCCAGAGAACATTGTTGTTGTTAGGTGCCTTTGAGTTGCTCCAACTCATAGCTACCCCATGCGCAACAAAATGAAACACTGCTTAGTCCAGTGTCATCCTCACAATTGATATTACAATTGAGTCATTGCTGCTGCAACTGTGCCAATCCATGTTGTTGAGGGTCTTCCACATTTTCACTTACCCTCCACTTGACCAAGCATGATGTCCTTTTCCAGGGACTGATCCCTCCTGATAACACGTTGGAAGTATGATTGGACCTTGTATCAACATCCTATCGTCTAAGGAGCGTTCTAGATATGCTTCTAACAACAGACATTTGTCTGACAGTCGGTGGGATCTTTAAAATTCTTCCCCAACACCATAATTCAAATGCATCAATTCTTCTATGATTGATGTTGTTGTGAATTGCATCGTGTTGGATCCAACTCATAGTGTTCCTGTACAGGGTTTATGAAGAGTGGATGGTGAACATGAACCACCAACCTTGCAGTTCAAACCAACCTTGCAGTCGAAACGCATTAACCTACAATGCTACACTACAGTCCCCAGTAAATAAACCTTTCCAAAAGGAGATAAATCCAATTTTCCATAAATTTGAAAGTAAAGGCAGTTGCAAATTCATTCTAGGTTCATTCTGCCTCTGATTCAATGGAAAAGAGGCTATTATCTAGTCAATCTGATTACTTCCAATTATAAAGTTGTTGCACAATTAGACAAGGAAGAATAGGTCTGAAATCTATTTGATGCTCTGTAGTACCTCATAGTATTTGCATAGCCAGTTATAAAAGTAATTGCAAATCAAAATCAATAAAATAAAACTTTGTTTCACTCCATCAAGTAAAGAATAACTATCATCTGAGAACTTGGATGAATATAAAAGAGACATGGAGTCAGCAGTACAATAAGGTACTCATAAACATGAACTGAACCTCATGAGCCATCGGTAAAATGATGGTTACAGAGCTAAGCATATTTTCTCCCTAAATTGTGTGTTTGTCAATGCCTTTTATTTATCTTATTAAGGAGGTATTTCTGGTGGTTAACACTGCAGTTTATTTTTAAGTTACAGCATATTTATGTGGGATTATAAATAAAT